GACAGGGTCGTCCCAATATGCGTTTTTGCAATTTGCATATAGGCAAAAACGCATAAAAAGGAGCAGCCAGGTGGTGGGTGCGTTTGCATCGAACCTTCTTTCCTGATCCGTATCTCTTTAGTCATTACTCAAAGCTAAGCTGGATTTCCACACCCTCAATCTTTTATGCTCACGAAAAGCAGCCTTGGCAGCGGAGTTTCTGCGGATGAGAAAGAAATGCGTTCATTTAACTGTTCAATATGCGCTGGTCTTTTTTAGCTTTCCAGGAAGTCGGATTCCCTTCTTGCCAGCAAACTTTCTCAGACCAAACAAATGGAAGAGGAGATGCTGTTTCTCAAAGATTCGGATGATAATATCGCAAACGACGAACGCTTACTGAGACTTTCGGAGCAGCTGCGTCGTTCTGCTCGGCATGCTGTTTTGCATCAGTTATGGAAAAGCTCCTCTTACGGGGTACTGTGCTTCCTTGTTTTTACATTCGTCGGATGTGGAATGCTGTTAGTTTCGGTGACTCATTTCTAAAAATTTTCAAAAAAAAAGAATAAAATTAGACTCTCGGCGCATTACTGCATCTGAGTGACATCATATCTCCAAACCAATAGTCCGGATGACCCTGAGGGCGATAGCCGCAAGCAAAAGAACACATCGGGTGTTATCTCTTCTTGACATTCCAAATCATTGAAAACAGATAAATGAAATTAAGGAGGGGTGCTTGTTTTTTCCTCAACATGGAAAAGCTTTAGAATTTTTTCAGTCAGGGTTTCTGGCGATTTTGAGAAACTAGTAGGGATGGAAACAATGGAGAGGGGCAGGATCCGATAGGTGGGGCAAATACTATTAAAATAACCACTTGTGGAGGCTTCAGAACGGGTTGGAAGAGGCAAGGGGCTTTGAAATTAGTAAATGGAGGGAAGCTGATCATCCAATAGACGAGACTAGCACAAACAATCTTCTTTTGAAAGCATTTACATTTGATCAGTTTTGTTAGCTTGTCGGAATGACTGCATTATGTGCTTTATTCTGCAATAGTTATACAAAACACGCATTGTAGAGGTCCTGTGAGTTTGTGTGAGTGTATTTGTGTGTGTGTGTGTGTGTGTGTGTGTGAGTGTATTTGTGTGTGTGTGTGTGTGTAGTGTGTGTGCTCCAAGTGCATTTTATCCGAAGTTTTTTAAGGGGAACCTTCTACCCACATATGATCTCACAAATTCAAACTTAGTGTCTGCTCTCCTAGGATCACATGAAAGTTTTAGCGTCTAAATTAATAACTCGGGAAGCACAGAAGGTAGGAAACTGTATTCTCCTAATATTTTCCTGAAATTCCTTGCCGTATGAGACTCCATAAAGTTAAATGCAGCCTTCACCCAGGTCTTACGCACGGACACGTGAAAGTTTTGTGATGAAAATCATTAATTCGGGGCCTGGAAAGCTAAGAATTGAAAATTTAGGAGAAAGCCCTTGTCCGAGTATTGCTCGCAAACTTAAATTCAGCTTTCCTGCACGCCAAGATCTCACGCAAGGACACGTGAGAGTTTTGGGCACAAAAATAGGGGGCCAGGAAAGCTAGGGAACTGAAGTACGGAATAATGCTCCTGCCCTTGTATAAATTCAGTCTCTACGCACGCCAAATTCGCAGATATCGATGTGTTGAAAGTTTGGGCTAAAATCAATAACTCAGGAACCACAAAATCTGGAAGCCGAAATTCTAGGACAGCTCTCCCTGCTCATATATAATTCATTCCTGCACACGCTTAGGTCTCATGTACGGACAAATGAAATTTTTTGCGCAAAAACTAGTGACTCAAGGACCACGAACAGTAACGCGTAACTAACCGCCAAAAATAATGCGTAACTATCAAATAGTAATGTCCAGACTTTTACAATCATCAGCTGGATCAAATAGTAACAGCAAGGTTTCCTTGTTCAAACTTTTATAATCATCAGCTGGACAGGGCTGCAAAAGTTTCCGCCGGACAAAATTAGACAAGCGATCGCTGGACAGAATTGCACAAAACACTCGGTCACGTCAGCTACCCTGGTGCGCGCCACTATTTGTTTCCATCTATGCTTAACCAGAATTTCGCTGGATGTGCTTTGGCGCTATTAAGAGTTGTTAGGCTGAGGTTTGCTGTACTGCAAGTAACGCAGCTGTTTTGCTCGAGTTGGATTGTTCAACTCCGTGACCTGTTAAACAGCCTACGGACGATCTGTTACGGTAGATTGATGGTAGCACGTGCAGAAAATGAAATTACGTCAGCTTGCTTCCAAAAAAATTTCTCGGAAGTGGGGGGCCATAAGGACGGATGGCTACTGTTGGCGATGTGTCTATCGCTCTGCCAAATTTCTAATGCATTCACCTCTCATGGAATATGAGATGTGGAGTGCAATAGAAGTTTTGAAGTTTTTTGCATTATCTGAAAAGATGACAAAAGTTTGCTGCATCTGCACTCTTTTCAAATCTCGGCGCAACACATTACAGTACTGCAAATTCGGATTCATTTGTGTACAGCGCAAATCATAAGCAGTCATAATTCTTGGAAATTGATGCTGGCTAATCAGGAAAGATGGGCCATAAATTTGAGGTGATGCGTACCAAATCCGTTCAACATCAAGTCACACTTGCAGATACGGTGGCTATCTAATCAACGAGGATGCGACAGTCAAAGAAGGCGACATCTTCATCGTGGTACTCTCAATGGCACTCATCGTTTCCAGCATATCTACCACTACAGCACACTACAAAGAATATAGGAAGGGAATGCAAGCCGCTCTATCTGTCAAGAATCTGGAACAACTTGAGCAAGGACTACTGGTCAGAGCCAATCTGTTTATGCACTCTCCTTCATTTTAAGCAAATACGAGTTACTCTGGCAAAAATTGCTATTTTGTACAGTAAAACCAATCTTCTACGCAAGCCTAACATGTGACAGCCAATCCTGAGATTAGCTCGATCTGAAGCGATACCTCATACTCGCATTGATCTTTTACGAGCCTTTCTGACAATTCAATAATAACGAACAACATTTTCAGCTAACGCAAAACGGCAGTCGACGCTCTTCCGTTGACGACATTACCATCACTAGCGAGCAAGTGCCAATGAAACCACCGTTACTGCCTGAAGCAACAACATCTATTGATCGCTTTGCGAATGGTACCAGGCGTGTCTTGCGTAACTACCACAATCACAAGTTATTTTTGGTGGGTAATTGTACATCGAGACTGACTTTCCATGCTGCCTTCACTAAACTTTCTATTCATTACGTACACCGGATGCAATAATACAACGTCGTTTCTTACAGAAACTATTTCGCGCAATTCCGAAAGGAGGCGAGAAGGCGTTCTTAAGGCAACAGTTGCTCTGACTATTTATAAAAACCTCTGTGAAAGTCACATTATATATTGAGGGCCAAGACCTATATTTTGTTCCTTACGAAAAATCCTGAATTAGGCCAAGGGCAATGCTGCTAATGTACCTCTCGTTCTCAATCAAGAGTTGCTCAGGATCAGGCTATTAACTATATAGTTTCTCCATTGTGTGCCGGTACCAATTTACCATTGAAATGAATAAGCGGTTGATGGTTCGACAAAATCGAACCGCTACCTTTAAGCTTGCCATAGTTTCACATCCATCATTGTTACTAATTATTGCCACAAATACTTCAACAGTTCCTGAGTATGGATGAGATTTTAATTTGAATTTCACTTCCGCAGCAGAGAAAAATGTAGAAAATGAGAATTATGCCCTTCTGTTTGCTACAGCTTGGCAGTGCTAAAATGTGAAAAATCAGATCTTGAAGATGAATTTTTGGAAATGTCATGTTTGAGTTTTTGTAGCTGCTTGCTTTCATCTTAGCGGCTGTGAATGGACTGGAGCAGCCAGCGCACAACCTCATCATGGGCGAGGTTTTCACTGCAATGCTTCGCCGCAGTCCGAGCATCCGTCTTCTCATTCAATATGCTATTCAGTTTTTCGCCGTTGGTTTCGGTGTATTTGTATCACGCACTGCAACAGTAAACTTTACCTTCTTCATCCTTT